TTGACGATATAAACCGTTGGTGGGTATAACCGAGGTATTTCACCCCGAGAAAATTACACAGTTAAAGTGTGCATTGAAGATATGCAAAATATTCTAAGTATGGAATCATACAAGAGCAGTAAAGAGAAGACAAAATTACAAGCATTCGGGAAAGGAAGTTGTATTAACATTCAAAAGATGACATGTCGGCCAAAGCTTACAATTGTTCTAAAAAGAAGAAAAACAAAAGTACAAAATACAAAGGAAAAGGACATCAAAATTAAGACTCTTCGGTGACACCAGATGGTTGGGTTTGAAGTTCAGAATACTGCTGGGAGGACATCTCGGTAGCCTTCTCAGCCGCGAGCTCGGCATCTATTTCTTGAAGGGTTTGATCGAGGCTCTTGTCGGCGAGAAGCACGTCCGACGATGCCTTCTCAGGAGTAGCATCCTTGGGAACCTCCTCACCCTCCTCATCTTGAGTCAAGTCCAGGACTTGCTCATTTGGAGTAAGGGACTTGGCCCCAGCAGCTTCCTTTGACTTCCTCACCAAAGCTTCCTCCTCAGACTCAGAATCGTCGTCGGATTGGCTTGGAGTTGGAGGGAATGGCAGGGCGAGGACGTCGGTGTTCCTGAGGGGGGAGTCCTCAGGGATTTCAAACCTTTTCAGCAAAGTCATCCAACCAAGGGTGAAACCCTTGTTGCATGCCTGCTTCACCTGTTTCTCGTAATTCGCCGTGACATCGACCACTCCCTCATTATATCCCTTCTGATCGGCGGCCTTGAGCTCAGCATCTTTTATGGCCAAGGCATCCTGCAGCTCTTTTTGGGACTCAGCCGTCTTTTCCTCGGCCTCTTTTTTTTGGGCCTCAAGAACCTTATTTATGGCATCAGCAGCATCTGCTTTTTCCTCGGCTACGTCTTTGGCTTTGACAACAGCCTCGACCTAGTCTGCCAAAGTCTTCATTTTTTATTGTAAGTTTTTATTGGTCTTCTGCAGACTAGTAACCTCCCTAGTCTTATCGGCCAATGCCTTCCTTGTCTCAAAAGATTGCATTGAGAAGGAGTGGGCGTGCTGGATTGCGTGAAGAAAAATGGACAGAGCAGAAGTTATTAGAAAATTTTCTAAGTATAAAAAAGAAAGAAAGATACCAAGTGTGAAGACTTACTTGAACAGAACACTGGAGCATTAAAGCAAAGTTTTCATACTCGCTCATCTCGGCGTTTCGGTCGAGATCTCCAGGAAGAAGCAAAGCTGTGCTAAGAGCAATGCCGACATTAACGTCATCGGCACTATCGCCAGCTCTAACTGGCCTGTCCTCCAGAGTGATTTGGGGGGCCCAGGGGGAGTCAGACTTCATGGAGCCCAAAGTTGTTGCAGAAGACGACCTCGGCCTCTTTGATCTTGTGGACTCAGATGGTTGGGCCTCGGCAGGCCTTTTCTCTTGGAAATTGGCAAGGTGTCCTCAGTATCAATCTGAGTCACCGTTGCCTTTGGCTGAGCCTTCTTTATCCTTTTTTGTTTCAGTTTTGGCTGAGATGGTACTGGTTCAGCGTTAACAGTGGCCGGGGTGTTGGCCAAGAGATCCTTAGCAATTGCTTTTTGGCGGCCCATCTCAGCGGAAAAAATAGTTCGTCGCCAGCGTTGGCTTTAAGATGGTGGGATCAGATATGGAGCCGAGGTTGACGGCTGCTCTGCTGGATCAAAGATCGATCCTTGATCTAACCGAGATGAGAAGGCAGCTTGAGAAGTTATGGCATAAGGGGGAGATTGGCCTTTCTTCCTTTTTGGGACGTCGGGGAGTACTGATTTGTAGGTTGGGATGAAATTAAGTACCAAGAGGGCTCTGCGCTTGTGGACTGGTAAATCCAATAACTTCTTCAAACCCTTGCTGGGGAAAAAGGACTTGTGGAAGCCTTTTTCTGGTTGGGGAAGAGCTGCAAGAAAAACAGACATTAGAAACAAACGAAGTATTGAAGACTTTAAAAATAAATAAGTATAAATACTGGGCTCTTACCATTACCCTCTACAAAAACTGTTCGAGGAAGAGGGTAGAGGTGGAGGTCCTCATCTGGAGCGAACTCTCAGTTCCCCGAGATAATGAAGTAATCATCCCCAGCTCCCTTGTTGGAGTCTGGGAAGTCAGCAACAATTTTGTACTCTGTGGACCTCGGCTTGAGGTAGTAAATATAGCATTTCTCGTTTTTAAGGCCACACATGGTGTAGCAGTATTGGATGTCGACTAAGGTAACCCTAGTATTTTCTTGTTTGGCTAAGGCTATTATACCATTTATGACTCGGTAGGAATTGATGGCAAGCTGCATTGGGTTCAACTTATAGTAGTGGATTATCTCACGGAAGAGGATGTCGAGTGGGAGCCTAAGTCCACATTCAATAAAAGCTACAACGGGGAAGGGCATAGAATCAGTCGTGGGCATGATGGAGTCATCCTCCCCAGCCAACCTTAGATGAACGTCGGTCGAGATGTCAAACTCTCGCCTAAAGTGCTCTAACTTGGACGGGGTGTCTACCCTATGCTTCCACATACCCATGATGTCGGCTTAACTGAAGGAGATGGATTTCAGAAGGGAGTGTTTTGGAGGGTTTTAGGGATCTTGGCTAAAGCCTAAAAATACACAGAATCTGTGAGGAATCATTTTAGTTTTTCCTAAAAATTTGTGGGTTCTACAAACAAATCCCAAACCTAGATCTATGGAAACGAAGATTGAAGGCACGAATCTGGCAAAGTCACAAAAAACAAAAAAACAAGAATATGTTTCAGAATCAAGAACAGTGGTGAACTATCAAGAAAACTGTGACAAAATGTACACAAGGGCGCGAGGCCAAGGACAGTGGTAAAGGTGAGCAAATTTGTGAACAGTGTGTGCATATTCAAAACACAAATTGGGCAAAAACAAAATCGTAAGGTAAACATGCTCGAGTACATGATTCATAAATCGAATACTTGAGCAAAACAGCAATGGCAACAAATAATAAAGCGAAACTTCTTGAAGAGCAACAAGAAATTGAAATAAAAGGGAACTGTGACTTACCCAAGAAAATGAAGCCGAAGTAAATTTTCGCTGAGATCAAGCGGTAGCCGGAAGCAAAGAAATACGACAGAAGCCTCGCCGGAGGAGAGAGTCAAGCTGGTCGCAGAAAGCTTCGTGAAAGCAGCAATGGAGGACTTGGAAGAAAAAGCTAGAGAGAGAAAAAACTTCAGAAATAACAATGTAAAGTGAAAAAACGAAGAGAGAGGACACTGGTTTTGTCAAAAACGCGAAAAGGTGGCAAAATGGAATTGATGAGCCTAGAATGAGGAATTTGTCAGACGACGCACGCAGGCGCGAGACGACTTACAGGCGCGTATCGAGTACGATCCAATGAAGAGAAGACACGTGACAAAAACGGTTGATGTATTTTGCATAACAGCTCACACGCGTGATAAAACTCTTGGAGTTCTTGGTTTAATGAAGCAATGACATCGGCTGATAGGAAAATCTCGGCTAAATAAACTCAAATAAGCTTGGTTAAAAATTCTGAAACCGTGATGAGGCAAGATTGCAAGACCTGGATTGTGTGAAGCCGATGTATTATGACCTCAGTAAAAGGATGATATAGCGAGACGGCCAACATGCTATATGATATGACGATATAGGTTCCATCACCTCAGGATACTGAGGTAATAGAACCTAGGGGGCAGTTATGGGGATATATTTTCTGAATACCAACACGTGGCCGAGGTGACACCGACGTGTCAGCCGGGTTGCCACGTGTCCTGGTTATGACGCCGAGGTTATCTCAACTAGGCCGAGGTTATCTTCGAAGATATCGAAATCCGGGATAAGCAGATAAGGGACAAGAGTCCTAGAATGAGGAAGGATCTCAACCTGGATAAGGATAAAACTCTTAGGGAGTTTATCTTTATCTATAGAAGAGTCCAAGATTAGCAGTAAGCTGAAGTCCATTAAAGCTAGGCTTCTATTGGGACTAGGATTGAGTTGGCTATAAAAGAGAAGCGCCCCCATGGGTCTAAGGTACGCAATTTATATTCAGAACAATGAGTTAAGCACTATTGATTATCTTTGAAAGATAACTGACTTGATCGTCGGAATGCCCCCGGGTGGACGAACCACCGCCGGAATCTCTTCTTTCTGTTGCAGGTCAATCAGGCGTCATCTATTCTGTCAGTGCTCTCCAGCTGAATACTAAGTTGGCGGTGTGGTTAGAAATTCACTCACACACATACTATTTCCAATTCGGAAACTGTAAAATCAATTATTCATCACAATTTTCACAAAACATACAAATAACAAAGTAGATTACGACTGAAGGTCACTTAAACCCTAGTTTTGGCTTGTTAATAAAAATCAAATAAATTAACATTGCGAAACAGGGGCAAATCTACACTTACGTTTCAGAGTCATCATTCCTTCTTCTCACCGTAAACGGTAACCGTTATCACCTTCCCGTCGAACGTCTTCATCGAATCGCGCCCCTTCTCCTGTTCGTGGTGAGTTTCGAAATGTTAACAATTGAATCAGCCTATTTTGGGGGTTTCAAAATGTTTTTTGGGGGTTTCAAAATGCTTTTTGAATTTCCAAATTAATGTATATGGATATGATATTAACATCTACTATTAAGGGTAAATGTGTCAAGTAACTTCTCATAGGACTTATGAGAATATAAGTTTTTATTTAAGACTTAACCTACCATAAGTGTCTGAAAAAAGACTTATAAATGAGTCTCTTTTTTTTAAAATATATTTTTGTGTATTTACTGATTTTTTAAAATATTTTTTTTATAAATATTTTATATTTTAGATACATCTAAGTAATATGTATTTAAACAAGTAAAAAAATTACTTAAAATTTCAAAAATATTCATTAAAAACAAATAATAAAAAAAAAACTCAATTAAAAACAAATTAAAATCAAATTCACTGAATATGATTGAAATACTTGCAACCAAAGCCATAAATAAATAAAAATAACAAAAAAATGTTTTAAAAACCTCAAGATATCAAAATTTATCTAATATATTGATAGTGTATATATATATTTTTCATTATTACACAATAAAAGCAAATACAGGGAGAGAGCTCATTTCATACTCCATGACATGTGTCACTCTAGGCATCTCCTCCTCCTCTCTCCTCAAATCACTCACCGAGAGAGAGAGAGAGAGAGAGAGCAGCTTCGGCTGAAAAACACAGCAATTCGACTTTCTTTCTACACTCTATCTGTGGTGGCTGTAACCACCACCACCACCGCGATCTCGATCGTCTCTCGATCGCCTCCCCTCCTCCTCCCACTCCGTCGCCGTCGCCGTTGCTGGCGGCTCGTACCTTGAGGACCTTCTCTTGAAATGCCGATCTTCATCACTCGACTCACCACAATCTACACCACCACCGTCCTTTCTCGACACCGACACTGACTTCATCGACATTGGCGACTTCTTGTTGGATTCAGACGAAGAAGAGAGCTTTCGCCTCTTTGATCCTGCTGCTTCTTCGTCCGGGAAGCTCATGCGAGAGAAGACGCTTGATTTCTGCTTGCTGATGTGTTGTTGTTCCGCTGCGGCGGTGGATTTGTGCGGTGGTGGTTCTAGGGCTGAGCGACGGTGGTGACTGCGACGATCGTCGTGGTCGCGAGGATCATAGTCATAGTCGTAATCAGGTTTTCGTTTGGAAGATAGGCGAGGAAGTTCGGGATCACGGCGGTCATTCCGTTCCGCCGCCGCCGACGGCCCAGATCGGTGGCGGCGGTGGTCGGCGCTCGGTGGTTGTGGAGGATACATCTGCAGCGCAACAATTAGAATTAATTAAGAAATTAATTTATATTATGATTGAAAAAACAAAATGAAGATATTTTTAATTTTACTGGGTAATTACTAATTAATCAAAATAAAGAAAAACGGTGACCCAGTGGAAAATCACTTCTCCAATAAATAAAGACACTATAAAAATAATTTTACCTTCTCTTACCTTATTTTCTTTTAACAATTTGAACCTCTTTTTAAATTAATATTTTGATTTCTTTACTTTTCAAAAAATAAACATAAATAGAGTTAGATAATTGCTTCATTTTACAATCCTAATCAAAATAATTCAATAAATTGAACTTGAATATATTTTAAAATTCTTAAATCCGTACTAAAATTGAATAATTAATTACTTAATTTGATAAATTTATATGCACTATAAATCAACGGTGGTGCTATATCTATTAATTAATATATCAATTAGTGTATCAGCATATGCTATAATATTGTTATTTTAAAATTATGACTCTCCTTGTACAAATTACAAAGATTTAAAATCTTTAAAATTATATCACATCATTTATTAATATATTAATTAATACACCAATTGATACATATAGCATTATTTATAAATCATGTGTAATCAATTTGATTACTATTTGTATAAAACTGATTTAATAGATAAACAAATCAACTTTAAATACATTTTGACTGGTAACATATAGTTATTTTGATCCTCTTTATTTCATAAATAAAATGAATATCTTTATTTCTGTTTACGAGTTGTAGCACATTGTCACACAACGTTATTGTAAGCATATAACAATTCCTTTAGTCATTTTTTAATTTAAAATAAAATTATTGAAATAGATATTTCACAATCATTAATCACCTTGTGACTATTAAGGTCATCTCTAATAGTTCACCAAATGTTTCATCAAATTTAAATTTGATAAAAAAACTTTACATTTTACTATTTCAATAGTTCACCAAATCTTTTATCAAATCTAGGATTTCTCAAATTCTTCATCAGATTGAAGATCGATCTGTCTTTCATCAAATCACTGTTTATAACAGTTGAATTTTCACCACTAGATATTCCCAAATGACCATCTCAAGACAAAAAAATTGTAAAAAATTTACACTGACCGGTCAACCCGCTAAATATCCGCTCGATCATCCGTCCGGTTGACCACTGTTCTAATGACACTTTAAAAACCTTCGTTGGAACACTTGATATCAAATAAAATTTTTACTCAAATTTAATAAAAAATTTGATACATCATTGAAGATGCCCTAAGATCAAGTATTGGCTCGCTGGTCCTAGACGAGTCGAGCAAAATTGTTCAAATCTAGATTAAAACCTTGCCAAGTCTCAAATTGTTTTCGAACTTGAACTCATTCAGCTTTCAAATATCAAACAAATTTCAATTGAACTAATCACAAATAACTCTCCTTTTTTTAGTGTATATGACCAAGTTGAGCAGAGTAATAATTTATTCAATTTCAATTTAAAAGCTTGACAGATTTTAAAATATATTCATAATTGACTTTTACATAGTGAACCAATATTAAATCAAGTTTTAATGAGTCAAACACAAATTAAACATAATGATAAAAAAATTAAAAAATAAAAATAAATAAAAAAACAAGAAGCATCGAAAACAATTTTTATTATTTTTTATTTTTTTGGGTATGACAACATCGAGACGATGTAACAGATTTAGTGCAGCCTCAGCAAGCCCAAAACCGCATTACTTCTAGTCTTTATTTCTAAATTACGTAAAAACATTGGAGTCGGAAAATATTAATCAAATCAAAAATATTAAATGTAGTTAGATTATTATAAATAATTTTAGTTCAATAAAAAATTAAATAAAACTTGGAAGTAAAAGACACGAGAAATAACCCAAAATTTGAAAGTTACCGATAAGAGTGCTGCTATTAGCACTTATCATTTTCCTTTGGACCCCCACATTTTTTTTATTACAATTTTGTCCTAACACCAATTTACATTTTTACCCATCTCCATCCTTCCAACCCTAACCCTAACCATCTACTTAAACTCCACTCAAGTCGGCCGGCCAAGAGGCTCCTCTCTCTCTCTTCTTTTTCTTCTTCTTCTTCTTCAGCAAATCCGACCACCCTCCCACCACCTTCACCACAGCAACACCTAACCCTTTTAAATCCTAATTTTTTTGCAACAACAGAGATCAAGGACTGGGTCGCCACCCAGATCTAGTAAGCAAATGGGTCAGCTTCCTCCACACGAACTTTCCTCCATGCATCAGCTTTCCTCTCTCTCTCTCTCTCTCTCTCTCTAAAAAAACCGTCCATTTCTCTCTGTATCTATATCTATATGGTACATATATAACAGTTACAGTGAGACTCATTGAAGAAAAAGACGAAGACAAACTTGGATCGAGGAGGATTCGACGGATCTTGTTACTACTCCATCCTCGGGATTCGTAAGGACACCTCCTTTTCCGACATTCACACAGCTTTTCGCAAGCTCACTCTAGTACTCCTCCAGATTCTAAATTCTCTAATTTCATCCATATATACAAATTCATATTTATATATATATATACATATATATAATCTGATGATTTTGGTGGTTGTTCTGTAGAAATGACACCCCGACCAGTGGGCGAAGAACCACCTGCAGTAGCCGGAGAAGCGAACCGGAGATGGTGGTTGGGAGTGGAGGCTAGGGTTTGGGTTTGGATTTGGGATTAAGGGTATAATTGGTATTAAGGTAAGAGTTCAAAGAAAAATAGAGAGTTTTCATTTTGTTGGGTGGAGGTTCAAAGAAATAGGGGGATCAAAGTAAAATGGTGGGGGCAAATAGCAGCCCTCTACCAATAAAAGCAGAAAAAACTTCTGCACCCTTTATGGTCCTCTAAATCTTGGGATCACCTATTCCCGTCCCCATCCCCGTAGAAGGTTCACCTATCACTTACAATCGCACATTATGAATTTCTTTAAATTAGAAATTAGTCAGAAATCAAATGTGATCCTAAAATGCACAGTACAGGGGACATTCATTTTTTTGGGGGGGAACAAAGAATCCCGTGCCCTAAATCTTCATCTGTGCAACCTGTTCCACTTCCTGCTTAAGCTCCATTTCATTGCCGAGAGGGATTAAGAAAAGAAATGGAAAACTAGACAGTTTATGTAACAATAAGCTGACCATTCGAGTGGCTGCCAAAAAGTGTCCAGGTTTTCATTTCTTTCCTATAGTTTTGTTGGCAATCAGACGGAGCATCAAGTCGGAAAACAGAGAGAGATGACTTTGAATTCCAATTAAAATAACTTTTCGTCGTTTAATCCCAACTACAAAAACAAAACAATTTTCCATTTTCTTTATCTTGGAAAAGAAAATTTGGAAACATTCTCTTGCCAAGAGCCACATTATTGTTTTCATCCCAAATTGGTGGTCTCCCAAATCGTTGATTGTAACCACCGAGTGCACCTGCTGCAGAACACACATGACGAAGCAAAAACATTCAAACAACAAAATACATACATGATTTGATTTCAACGAAGAAGAAATGTCCCCACTGCTGCTCACTTCCATTCTGAATTCTCGGTCTTTGGATAATTCCCTGCTACCAGAGGAAGAAGAAGTTGAACTCTTAAATCGATAAAATAAATAAATAAATAAAATCAATAATTTCAATTCTACATACAACGCAAAAACTATAGAAGAGTTATACATCCTTGGCTACAATTGATTCATTTTACTACTATTGAACTTGGTATAAGACTTTCCCAATTCATTTGACTAAAACTAAAAGGCCAACTCATTTTTTTTGACTTACTTTTTGTCTTTTCTGAACTGTATTCAAAAAATATTTCACTAGATGATTCTAAAAAAAATTGAGTTCATTTTGAAAAACTTCAATAGATGAAAATAAGCCAAATTTTATCCAACAAACAAAGCAAATGAATTTATTTCTCAAGGTGAAGGAATATCCATACCGCACCTGTGTATAACAAAAGCAACTGAAGAGAAAATGAAAACTGAAGTTCTTAAGATAAACTAACAAACAAACACCATAACACAAGGCAGACCATGTCATATTATAGAATTGCCACGCACTAATCTCAGGAGAACAGAATCACAAAGAGTTACCTTTCACCCCGTCTCTCAATTTCATGCTTCCACCTTAGATTAGCATTCCGAGCCACAGATTCCTCTCTCATCATCATAGGGGGTCCAGGATTGAAGCCCATCCCCAAATTCGCAACATCTCTATAATTAGTCAAAAATTATGTCCCAATTAGTAACATATGAAACACCCAACATAACTGCACAGCTAATTGCAGATGCAATGTGGCCTACAGATACTAATGCATTCAGCAAAGTAAAGCATCCAAATCAGCATTTCAATAAGACATAAAAGGCAATTGCTAGTCACATGGTCGCACACAAATAAACACTCATCACCCTTAGACAACACATCCCACCCTTCCCTGACACTTCATTTATTTTCCCTCTTTTACGCCCAAGTAGTAGTCATTAGCTTCAATGAACATGTAAAGAGTATAAAAATGAGCAAAAAGTGTATAAATATATGTTAAAGTGCTTGGATCTATGTGAAAAGTGTACTGGGATTCTAACTATTTTGGCATTTTACACACCTTAACAAACAGCCCTGTGGGTGGTTGTTATCATGACCGTATAAATAAATATACATGAATGCCCGTGCTTCTTTTTCTTTTTTTATAAAGAAAAAGACGTTAAGCACAACATGTTTACACTAGTATACCAAAATGATAAAAAAGACTCCGCTATACAATATCTAATAAGGAAAGATCTCCTATAAAATCAATGAAAGCAAATGAAGAATCGTAAAATTTTCCTTAAGCCAAAAATGAAAGCTCCATAAAGAGCTAGTTTAAGCCTATGCATCCCCAAGTTCATTTCTTCAAAAGTTCTCCTATTCCTTTTCGGTTCACACTACACACAACAGAGCCACTTTCCAAGGCTTCTTACACTTCCTAAAACAGACAACCCAAAGCCAACTTTCGTAAAAATTAGCTACCCCACGCAGCATCACCCAACCAATTCCAACAAGAGGCAAACTCCAAAGCTCCCCAACCACCTCACAATGCAAAACATGATGATTCACAGACTCCTCGGCCTTCTTACCCACACAATACCAAATAGGTTCCATCTTCTCGTCTAACCCAAATTGTCAATAGTCAAGATAGCATCTAATGCAGCAGTCCAAAAAAATGAAAAAAGAAAAGAGGAAACCTTTAAACCAATCTGAAAGGAATGGGGCTCTTGCTCAACGCCAACCAGTCAACAAAATGGGTAGATGATCAGAAATCAGCCTAGAAAGAGCAACTTGTAGGAAAATGTTCTTCTTAGTCCAAAGCTATAAGAAACAGAATATCTTGTGCATCACATTGCACAATATATTAGACAATACATGAGCATCTTACCCTCCCTCGCACAAAACTCATCCCATCCTTCCCAAATCATCTTTTCCCTCCTTTTCACACTCATATGTACAAATATACATATGTATATATATTGGTTGTTAGAATAGAGTGATTCACGATTCAATACGAGTTCTAACCAAAATGATTCAAATCGTACTATTGAATCTTAAACTAAGTTAATCTTACGATTCGATTTATGATTAATTCATTGCGAATCACTACAATTCAGTTTTATTTTTGGTTTCTGCTTGCATAATGCATGAAATAAGATCGTTTTCACCTCTCTATCAAGAAATAAAAACAAATCAATTAGTTATATTGATATATGTTATTATATATAATTTAAATTAATATTTATTTCATTTTAAACACTATGTATTTATATATATATATACATATAGAAATTATATATTATATTAAATTGAGTAAATTTTACGATTCACGATTCATTATTTTTGCACAATGATTCACAATTTGATTGGCGATTTGACAACAATGTGTATATATATAGGGGGGTACAGGGAGGAAGAAAGACTAAATTAATAGAACCCAAAATATGAAGCATACCTCCGAGGTGGGACTGGAGGCATCATATAACCGTGACCTCCAAACGGGGCATGAGGTAAGACACCAAATGGAACATCTAAAGGGCCAAACCCATAACCCATATAGGGCATGGAACCACCATATTGGGCTACATATCCTTCCATGCCAGGCTGCATGCCAGTCCAGTATGGATTATAGGTAGAAGGGCCCTGAGGCATCATATAGTTCTCAGCTGCAAGGTCTTGAGAAGTTTTCCACTGCATCTCTGCAGCTGCCATGCATCCAAGAATGGAACAGAATGAAGTCAGCATGATATAGTTATTCAATGAGCCCCAAGGGGCATTGAAAAAAACCTATAAACATACCATTCAAAGGCAATCGAGTTTTCTTCTTTTTGTTCTTCTTTACTGAAAAGCAAAAAAGAATGCTTGTGAGAAAAAATGACGCCGTACTCGAATGTATAACAATTAATGTGTCTCTCCATAATGACATTTGACTCAATATTTTGTATTTAGGTCTACTTTTTCTTTTTCTTTTTAAATGCAAGATGCATCTCCTCACTTGAGTCAGAACCAAGAGACTTGAAGCTAAGGAGTATTACAAACACACAAATGTAAAAAATCTAAGCAGCATATAACACTGAATAAGGAACTGATAGAAGAGTTAGAATAAGTGGGACTTATGTGTAAGACCTAATAGGTGGCCTTATTGTTCAATAGGTTTTATGATAATTAATGACATTTTCATTTAACACTATTAAAAAGTCACTAATTTTTAACGACAGTTTGAAAATTGTCACAAAAAATATCACTAATTATAAGTTTTAGTAATAGTTTAAAAAAATGGTCACAAAAAGTCATTAATTTTTAACTTTCAGTAACAATTTGAAAAATTCGTTACAGAAAAGTGTCACTAATTGTAAGTTTTAGTGACAATTTATAAAAACTGTAACAAAAAAAGAAACTCACTAATTGTCAATCTTTAGCAACATACACAAAATTATTTTTAGCAACGATTTTACTAAAACTTATTTTCAATAGGACTTGATGGGAATTAATAAGTCTAACTATTAGGACCTATGGGTAGTTTAAATATATCATTTGGACCAACATTCGCAGCAAAATAACACAAGTATCTGAATTCTGGATATTTGAGACATTACCTGCCTCGCCAGAAACTGGCTTCTGTTGCATTTCTTCATCAGCCAGTAGAGCACTCCGTTGCGATGCAGGTTTTACACTCATCAAATCATGCATAGCTTCAGAAGCATATGCAGCTTTTCCGATCCTCCCTTTCTCCAAGGTGTTTTGTGGAGCATTAATAGCACTTAACTGATATCCAGTTTCTTTTACCTTAGAAATCTCTTCACTTTGAGGTGGTGGTCCTTGCTCCCCCTTTGAGGCTGAACTTTGAGGTGGGGGTACTAGCTCCCCCTTTGAGGTTGCAGAAAGAGTAGGAGACCGAATCTTAGACTCCATCTTAGCTTGTGGAATCTTAGACTCCATATCTGAAATAGAAACAAGCAAAATATTATCACATAAAGACAGTTGTAATTTAAAGCATAAAAAAAGACCAATGACATACAAACCTTGGACTTGGAAAGCACTGACAGAATTTTCTGCACTGCTGTTATTGGACTCCAATATTCTATTAATTGTGTCTCTGAGTGTCTTGTTGGGTAACAGATCATCGGCTAATATGTTTGTGGCCCCACAGACACAGACTGACTTAGACATGATATAATCTCTTATACCTGAAAGTAATTTTAGTAATCCATATATAAAATTTAGAGAAAAACGAAAGTTTAAAAAAGAGTAATCAAAGAAGCATGGCAAGAAATTATCCACAACAGCCAACCAAGACTTCACCACACAAAAACAAGAAGAAAAGGGGGGCTGTGTTGCAACAGGTCAGTTCACATCAGATGCATCCTTATTGCTAACCACATCAAGTAATAATGAAAACCACAAAAAGCATTTAACTTCAACAAATACAAGAAGTCCATATGAAACAAAAAAATGCAAAATTTATTAAAACTATAACATAAATTTTATGTATAAGACCAATATCAACAGCTAGAAACTTTGAAATCTTACACTTATCACAAAAACTCTTAAAACAACACTTGCTTGTCAACACTGCATCTTTCATAACTTGTTTGCACAAAGAGCAGCGAAATTCAGGTGGAAGATCACCAACAGAACGAGTGGAAGGCAGCCCATCCATCTCTTTTTCAAAAGCAGTCCTGTACAAAATCCAATTAATCAATAAGTATTCTCAAATACGAGGTAGTCCTTAAACAACACAAAGCCACAAGATTCCTAGCAAAAAGAAACAGATCAGACACAAGGTTGCTTAAAAAAAGAACGAGACCAGCTTACTCATTTGGCTTTAAGACAGCAACAGCACCACTTGGTAATGCATATGAGCCATCTGGGGTTGCCATTAACATGGACTTTGGAATACCAGTAGGAGGTTTCACTCTTTTGATGTCAAAGTTAGAATCTCCATTGGTAGGGCAGTGCTGAATAAAATGCCCTGACAAAAACAATTAGACCATTCCATATATTTTAACCATTATGTGATTACATATTACAACCAAAAAAGAACTTTGCTTTTCTCTCTATATTTTTTCCTCTTTCTTATTAAAAGTCAAAACCAAACATAACATATACATACCAGCCACCTTACACCTATGACATATATAGCCCTGTGGAGGTGTTTTCCGCTCTAACCCACCTTGACCTCAAAAAATAAAAAGTAAATTTTAGTCTTAAAAACATAAAAAATTAACTAACAATTTACATGACACACAACACCCGTGAAAAAGAAAAACTTGCACATAAGACAACATAAGAAACCTACTAAGGAACATGATGCTAATAAAAATAAAGCATAAATTATAAAAACAAAAGAGATATAAAAGAATCACCAAAACCACGAGCACCCATCATTCTTCCACCACCACCCCGTCCAAAACCCCTACCATGGCCAAAGCCATCGGAAGTGTGACTGCAAAACCAAAAGAACAAACCATGTAAGTTTCTACAAAATATCACTCCCACGTCAATAAACCAAATCATTCCAATGTCAAATAAAGGAATAATAACAGGACAACATCTCACCGCTGCCAATCAAGGGCTGGAGTATCAATAAAAGCCTTGATCTTGCTGTCCTCATCAGCTTTGCTAGAATGGGGAGCATCCTGAATTGAATTGCTAGCCTGAACTAGTAAAACCTCAGGAATTGCATACAAATCATTTCCAAATTCATCCCATTCTGAATCTTCTGACTGCAAAGCCCAACAAGAAATAAGCCAAGAACTAGAACTGATGCTACCATACAACAAATCCACAGGTTTCAAAAGAAAAAGGCAAAGCAAATTAAGTTTACATATTTCATGGCAGATGAATCAGCTCCCAGGAAACTACTCTTTGCTTGTTGAGCATCATCAAACTTATTAGTATCCAACTTTGGCCTGCAGAACAATATACACCACAAAATTTATCCCACAATAAAGGGTTGTACAAAAAGATTTTACAAATTCATGGCTTATGACTGAGAAAAAGAGAGGAGCAATGCCAGAATAAGTAAGCTCAGAGAAACAGTGCAAACTTAAGTTTATGAACACATTAATTTAGGCAACTACTTGATCAAAAGATTTTAAGGATTGAGATAGTACTCGTCTTGTTCAATAACTGGCTGAGTAATTATGCGCATGCGAGGTTGTCCAGGAACTCGACGAATTAAAACAGACGTATTTTTCGGAATCAACATTGCTTCATCGAGGTACTCTGAAATCTCAAACAGAGAAAAGTCTATAAAAACCCTTCAAAGGGCTATCCACAATAACCAAGCATACAACTCATTAAAATTAAACCACCCAAATGCCTTTCCCATCAATTCTAAGAAAACAAATCAACTAAACTGTTTCAAAAAACTCGTCAATATGACCTTACACTCGAGGGCTAATTCAACCCTCACACTCAAAACACGCAAATGACTCTCATACTAATAACAAGCAAACACAACTCTTCAACAAAAATGGGCCACTTCGACTTTACATCTGCAACAAAATATGTTAGGGAACATAAAGCCCATTGAACACCCATAAGCTTTTCATGAAACAGTGCATTCATGAGCCTGAGTATTGTGACCCTTTCTGCCACACTTACCTATTTTGTCCTTCTAAGAAAGAAAAAAACTAAAATTCACTTAAGCTCTGTTCGGTTCACTAGAATGAAGTGAAATGAAAATAATCATTCCATCCTAATGTCTATTCTCACGTTCGGTTTACCAAAATAATAATAATAATAATAATTGAAAACATATTACAAATACTCACCATTTCCATTCCATTCCATTTCAAAACCAAAAACTACATTAGAGTAGAATAGAACACCTCCATGACCACACCAAACAAAGCTGAGCCAGAAAATTCTTTATTCTTCATTCACAATCATCAACAAGACCCAAGCAACTAACTGCAACTAACCCCTAACATGTTCTTTGCTATTACTACATACAAATCAGATTACATCAAATAATACATATATATTACAAACCCTAATAGAACCCTAAATCAATTCCAACAACATCACTGTCCCAAACACCACAAAAATTGAATTCAAAATTATAGCAAGTTCTGAAAATTGAATTCAAAGTACTGGTAGAGATTCAAACTTACCTTCGTTGGTCTGGGCGTTGGTGACAACGAGATCAAAATCAGTACCTTTACCCAAATGCTTCGATTCGAATATCTTTTCTTTCAAATTGATGAGTGATATGAAATGACCATCGGTGGGAATTGAGTCGTAATCTTTCGCACTTTTGAATTTGTAATACACTGCCATATTTCTATACCAATTTCTTCCTCTTCTTTTTTGTACTCTAAAATTACAGACAAATCAAGAGGAACAAACACAAAACCCTAGAAATGCATGATCAAAACCTCCAAATACGGCTTCCTCTCCCAAAAGCGAACCCTTTTGTTCGTCTATGAATGGAGAGAGAGAGAGAGAGATGCCGAATTTGATGAAAATTTGATCACACGAATAAAGAGAGAGAAGAAAATAAGTCGAAGTTTGGGAAGACTAAAAAAAGTGTAATTTTTGTTTTTTTGACTAAAAAATTGAGGTTGAAAATATGGATGTTTGGGTTAACTTTTTGACTTTTTATTGAAAATGTGTAATAAAAAATTGTAAAATTTGATTTGTAAATTGATTTGAAGGGAAAAATTTGAATTGAGAGTTGTGCAGCCGTAATTGTTGACTTTTGTTGAATAGTGTTAACTTTTTAACTTTTTGAGTAACTTTTTAACTTTTTGACTTTTTTTAAAGTTCCCAAACTTGACCTAAGAATAAAAAAGATTTTTTTTGGGTGGGGTTTAATTTTTATTTTTTAAAGAGAATAAGCATGGGATCCTCAAATTTTTTATCCACCATTGTTAGAAAAAATAAAATGTGTAATAAAATTTTTAAAACTACCATTAAATGGTAATTTTTTTTTCTTTATGTATTTTAGCAACTTAATACCCAATAATTTTAATGTATGACTAAAAATACATTTAATCATAATTATTTGAATAGTGAGATTATGATTTATTTTGAAAAGTAGATTAAAAGTCAGTTTTCAACTTTTAACTCACTTCTCTTCTCACATAAAAAAATAAAAAAATCAAAAAAAAATTAAAAAATTAATTTTTAACTATCTTTCTAAAACATTCTTAGGAGAAGCATGTGCCACAAAAGTTTACTTTTTAACTTGAAGTTATAAAAATATTTTCAATTTCTCCTCCGTTTTAAAAAATTTCATCCTTTTTTCATCAAATTCAGCACGTGAATTTAAGGCAATATTTCATTTTATTAGGCGCATTTATTGACATTTTCTAATATTTATATTTCTTACTATCTGTGAGTACTATAAATTTAATTATTATGATAGTGTTTTTTTTTTTTTTTTGGGTAGTGATATGCATGTGATCCAATGTGATCACATGCATGTTTTTCTCAACCAATGTGATCCAATGTTTTTCTCAACCAATGTGATCCAATAATTTTTCTCAACCTTAGTTAAAAAAATTTGACTAAGTGATATTTTGAAAAGTTGATAAAAAGTTAATTTTTGATTTTTTTAGCCTATTTTAACTTTTAGCAGGTAAAAAATGTGAGAGGTAATTTGACCCAAAATGAGTAAAAAGCCAAAAGCTCATTTTTTTACCTCCTTGCCAAAGCACTCCTGGATGTGTTTAGTTGTAATTTTAAGGGAGACTTATTTTATAAGTCCTTTTTCAAACACTTACGGTAGGTTAAGTTCTGTGTAATTTCTTATAGAGTCTCAAGTCCTATTTAGATAGGAATGTATTCCACAAGATCCTGCATAAACGTAACGTAACGTGACGTGACACTTACATAAACGTAACGTAACGTGACACTTACATAAATATAACGTAACTTGTCACGTTACATTTCGCAAACTTAATGAGTTTTTATTTTTTTAAATTGAATGTGAAAATGTTGCTCGTTTATGTTGTTGTCACGTTATGTTTCATATAAATATGATCTATGATATATCGGAAATTGAATGTTGCCATAAATCATAGGTGTCACGTTACGTTTATGTAGGTGTCACGTTACGTTTATGTATGTGTCGCATTACATTACGTTTATGTAAATATGATTTATGATAAAATTCAATTTCCTATATATAGTTTTACTATTATTTATGATATTAACAACTAATATTGAAGGTAAATGTGTCAACAAACTTCTCATAGGACTTATGGGAACATAAGTTTTTTAATAGGATATGTAGCATAAATCTCCCTAATAGGACTTATAAATAATTCTTCCTAATTTTAAATTATAAATTATTTGGCCTTTTCAATTTAATTTACTAAAAAATGTAGATTTTCTTACACTATAATTTGTAGCTTTTCTTATTACCTAACCCGTAAGCCAAAGGTCCTCACTTGTTTAAGTTAATAATTTTAAAAATTATAATCATAAAAAATTAACTTGTTAGTAATATCAAATGGAGTATTAATATCAATTCTGCAATGCTCGTTTTGATGGATTTATAAGCTTTTAAATTTATTATAAATTGTTTAAAATTTATGTTACATACATTATAATAACTAACAATGAATTATGTTGCTATCAATTGTTTTGTTAAATATGTTATTTGTTTTTAATACATGTGCATTGACTATTTTGAAAAAAACTTTAACCTATTTTGAGAAGTAAGTTAAAAACTTTCGATTATTATTTTTACTTTATTTTTAAAAAAATATGTAAAAAAATAAAGATCGATGTAACTTAAAAAAATTAAAAAGTTGACTTTTAATTCAAAAGAAAACAAGGGCACTTTAATTTATTTATTTTTGCTTGAAATGGTAAAACTCAGCTCTGATATATACTTTTGAAATTTTTATTTTTATTAACTTACTCAATGGTATTTGAAACATTTTCAAAAAGAAAAACAATGAAAAATAAAATAACATAACTTTCACATATTTTTTATGGGTACCCATTTTTATTTTATTATGATTGTTTCTAACAGTTTGGAAGAGAATTTATTACTATAGACTAAAATGGAGTAAGATATTTTCATAAAAGGGCTAATTACACTAGGACACTCAACTTTTAACAAATATCACTTTATCCCTATCACGTATCAACTCTACATATTGACCTCTAAACTGTAAAAATTGTACAAATAAAATAGTCCAAAAGGGGTCAACAATGGGTGAAAGTAATACTTTTATACCTACACAGATCTAAATGTACAAATTCATAAGTACAATAATAAAATGATATCACTAATAATTGAGGGAATCTTATAAATAACCCTTTCTAACATCAATTTTTGAATATTTCTTCCAAGAATAAAAAACAGTCCTCAACAAATTCAAAATACAAAAATACTCAAGACTCACAAGTTAAAATTCTCGTAAATTTCTAAACTCAACTCCAAGAAAATGATACAAAGTGTAAATCATTGAAATTTCTAAAGATCACTAGGTGTTCAGAATTAATCACAAAATAAAAGACGAAAGCAAATGCTTATGTTTCTATTAAATTCATTTAATTTCTAAGTTACAAGGTGAACTGCAAGCATTACAACTAAAAAAGAGGAGGTAAGAAGGGCCACATATAATGTTATAACCAAAAAAACACACATAAAAAGATGTATATCATATATCGGTCAAAATTAGAGATGAGACAATCACAACATATGCTAGAAAGAAGAAAAAGGCTATCTGAATGAAGAATTTTGGATTTTCTCTCATGTTTGGAGATGTAACCGCCCTGCAAACCAGAAACCATTCATTTGGTCAAACTTCAAAGATGAATGAATCTGAGTTGTTTAATAGATTTTGTGGGAATTCATTCAGATACAAGAAATTACCTAGCAATGCGTTGAGAAAGCCGGTGGAAGGGCAAACTTTGAATAAAGACAATGCCCGGTCCTGTAAGAATGGCCGTCACTAGATTGTCTCCCTGCAATTTCAAAACCACAAGTAATGGACACATGGTTTCAAGAAAGGAGGGGAAAAAAAATAATAATGCACAATCAGGAATTCATCTCTTTAGAGGAAGTGATCAACACAAATGCAAACAAATTTTAGTGAAGATGTATTTGAGTTTCAAATAATGCTAAGAACAAATATCTAATTAATTACAATCAGTTCAGGTTCACTATATCTGATTTACATTTCAAACTACGGTGTACGTTGAGGCCATCAGAGATAGGACCCAAGGGTTCAAATTCCATTTTCCATCAAGAAAGCAAAATACTACCTATGCATGTTTCTAATAAGACTAGAACTACATAAAAGCGTGATTGCACAATAACAAGCGAGAGAAAGAAGTATGTACAAAAAATAATTACTAAAGAAACAGAAGTTACTTACCCCAAAAACCACCCTTCTCATTGGACCATTATATTTGACCTGAACATTGACTGTTGCAGATAGAGCCACAATGCAAGAAACATCCGCGGCAAGTATTTCACCCACCTCAAGATTTTTCTGTACAACTAAAAAAGGAAAAGACATCCCATAATTATTCTCTGGAAGATTGTATAAAAAAAAACTCTTAAATCACAGCATAACAATAATTTTAAAGTGTTACGAGTACAAATCACTTGAGGAAGGAATGTTAATCTAACGCTCCGTTTGTTTGGGCAGAAAACATTTTTTACAGAAATTTTTTTTCCTAGAAAATATTTTTTGGAGAAAATTTTTTTCTATGTTTGGTGGTGGTGTAACAAAGGTGGAAGTGGAGGTGGTGGGGGGACGGTGGCGGTGATAGTAACAGTGATGGTGGCCGTGACCGTGGTGATGGTGGTGTGGTGACATCGGTAAAATTTTAGTTCGGAAAAAGTTTTCTGCCTTCTAAAAGTGAAAAACGTTTTCTGGCCAAATAGGCTTGTTTTCCATTGACCATAGATAATGTTTTCTGTTGACTTTTGTTTTCCATTATACTAAACACCAGAAAATATGAAAAACATTTTCCAAAAAATGTTTTCCGCTCAAACAAACGGAGCATAAAAGGCAACATGCACAGAAAAATCTTACATTAAGATTCCAGAACAGGCAGCAAGGTTATTGAAACCACAAGAGAAGAGTTATAATGCAAATCTAAGCCAGATTCAAGTTATTGAAACCACAAGAGAAGAGTTATAATTCAACTAACAGTGTTGAAAAACTTAATACCAGATCCACCAGCAACTATGAATGCAAGCCCTTGGCCAGATAGCTTCTGTCTCAAGAATCCCTACAAATGACATAAACAAATCCATCAAAGGAATGAACACATTCAAATAGAAGATGCAATATGCATAATCATCAACAGTAGGAAATTAAGCAACATAAAGTTCAAGGCTGTCCCGCCATCTCACCTCAGCACCAGCAATGACGTTATGTGCCCTCTGATCAACTGTATTAGTGACTTTCACATCATTGATGGAGCAAAGGTATGCATCTGGCTACAGAACAATATTATCAAAGTCAGATATGAATTTCTAACTGATGATATTTAAGGAAAAGACAACAAAAAATTCTGGATAGAATTTAGTTATTGAGTTAACAAAAAAGAAATAATATCCAGCGGACCGCTGCAATGGAAAAGACACAAGAGCAAGGAATTTCAAACAATTTCCTAGCATAATAAAAGAGAAAAAAAACAATATATTAGTAGTACCTGGCACAAAAGTTCACCACCAAACATTGCTAAATCAATCTACAAAAATAAAATAAATTTAAATCAAAAGCACATTATAAGGAATCGTTTGTAATCTCTGTTGATGAATTCAGAATCACAATCAATAGCTAAATTTAGAAAGAAAGAAAAAGCGGGGAGGAAAAAAGGCCTAACAACACAAATTCTGGCATGATACAAACCGGTAGAATTCTGGCTAAAGATGGTGCAGCAATTCCAACAAATCCATCACTTGAGCCAGTATTGAGAAGAACCATGCTAGTCACACTCTTGCCAAAAAGCCACTGCCACATACCTGCTTCATTTTCAGGGACATAAACATTTTCCATTTGTATAGACCCAGACATGTAACACATGGAACCTGCAGACCAATCATATATCATTCCACACATGATTGTCAGTGGAAATAACAAATAAAAAATGGTTTAAAATGTGAAAACGAATGAAATCATATCAAAATTAAACAGTTTTAAAATGCAGACATACTGCAATCCACGACCAAGATCTAATAAGAATATAGTGAACCTTGAAAAGCTCCCCAAGTATCAACCATATACTAATTTAGTCATACCATTCTCAACTCAGCCAATTCCTGCACACTAGATGTATCCTAGCGTAATGACCAGCAGCTTACCCTTCATCCACAGCTTCAAATCACATGCACCTAAGACCTGAGCTCAACCAGGTTCAAAGGCTGAACCATCATAGCTGATCAATCACAACTGTGATAGCGAGTGATAAGCAACCTGATACTCCTACTCACATCCAATATCCTATGTGATCATATAAAACATACCTAAAAGAATACTACACAATCACAAGTCTTGCTGACAAAAGGTGTAGCTCCATGCCGTTATTACGCAACATTTTGGACTAGAGTAATGATCAGCAGCTTACCCTTCATCCACAGCTTCAAATCACATGTACTGAACTCAACCAGGTTCGAAGGCTGAACCATCATAGCTGATCAATCACAAATGTGATAGCGAGTGATAAGCAACCTGATACTCCTACTCCTATCCCAATATCCTATGTGATCATATAAAAGATACCTAAAAGATGGCTACACAATTACACAATCACAAGTCTTACTGACAATGTTATTACGTAACATTTTGGAACAACCAGAGGTAGAGTTAGTGGAACCTTTGGAAGAAAGCTATCTTGGAAGAGTGACTTCATTAAAGTCCTGTACTGTCAAAGCACTCTTACTGGTAAAAGTCCCCAGAATTATAGCCAAGTCATGTCACATCCTTCAAAATTGGTCATCAATTATAATCTTATTAATCCAATGGTTTTCTCTTGCTTGGTCTACTAGAATAATAAGAAATATAATTACAACCTATGAAGCACAGATACCTCTCTGGAGGTCGCGTACAGGTGTCCAACATGTGTCAGACACAGACACGCAGGGACACTTTGGACACACTACAGACACGTTGGGACACATTGAGGACACATTGAGGACAAACTAAGGACACTCTAGGGACACGTTAAGGACACATTGAGTACTATTTTTTTCAAAAAATAATTAAAATTTTTAATTTTTTTAACTAAAATAACATATCGAAAGTTGATAAATTTAATAAAATTAAATATTTGACATAAAATACATATTAAATATTTAAAAATATAAAAATATATGCTTTGAACGTGTCCCCAATGTGTTGTGCCTTGAATTTTTTGAAAATTTATGTGTTCACGTGTCCATGTCGTGTCACATATCCGTACTTCTTAAATTACAACACAAGGTCTTCAAATACTAATATATTTATCCATGTCTATTGAAAAACTAACAATCCTTTAATTACACAGCATTTCACTTTGTACTGTTCAAAATAATTACATGAACATTTCAAAATGAATCAAATACTCGTGTCGGACATCTAACCCTTGGACAAGGGTGTGAGCCAGAAAACCCAAATAGGCCTCCTAGCTTTCTTCACATAGGATAAACTAACAAGGGATATAATGCACTGTCACATTATATTGATAATACGGAATAAACAACTCGAAAGTGTTGTGAAGACCAGACAACTTCGATAGACGAAACTTGCCCCCAAAAAAAAAACATCTAACTTCTACACCACTGACAACAAAAATGAACAATGTATATAAGCATAATTGGTATCATTACGTATAGTAAAACTCTTGTCCTCAAGGCCTTCTGGCATATCAACAATGATCTTGAATAGTAATAATGACCATATGGTTATGTTGTTGCCCAACAAAGAAGAAACAAAATTTAAAATTTATCATATAGATGTAAACTAAATATCGAAAAGCATGTAGGCATGCAAACAAAGTTGATTATTCAGAAGCACTTTTTATAGAAGTGACTCCAAACAGGTAGGCAACCCATGTTCACGAACAGGGCTAAAAATGAACAGAACCGTTCGTGAACAGGCTCAGGCTCAAGCTCAGGCTCAGGCTCAGGCTCAGGCTCGAGCTCAACTTAGTAAGAGCTCGTTCAAATTCGGTTTGATGATCGAGTTTGGTTCAGTAAGAATTCGTTTGAACTCAGTTCTTTAAATTTTTTTGTATTCGAGCTTGAGCAAAATTCGGCTCGTTAATTTTTTTGTTTAATATTTATTATTTATATATTAAATAATTTAAAAATATGTATAAAAAATAAGATAAATATGTTATTTATATATTTAAAAAATATAAATGTAAATAGTAGTTAACTATATATAGTACATTTATATAATAGTGGTAACAGATATTATTATTTTGATAAAAATATTGACTTTTTTTTCAGAAAGTTTATATATATTGCATATATAATTGTATAATCAAAGTTTTTATTGTAACTTTAATACGCAAGTATGAATTTATAAATTTTTTGACTCATTAAGGCTCGTGAACAGGCTCAAGCTCGAGTCAAGCCAAAGCCAACTCGACTCGAGCTCAGTTCGTTAAATTTTTATTGAACTCGAGTTCGAGTTCGAGTTCGTTAAAATCTTAATAAACAAGCTCGAACATACTAAGGCTCGGCTCGGCTCGGCTCGGCTCGGCTTGTTTGCAGCCCTAGTCACGAATAGTAACAATAGATCACATTAAGCCATATGGACAAACCCATGGCAAATCAACTCACCAGGCTTTGCAATAACCTTTTCTTGTGGCTTCAACATAATCTGAAAACAAACCAACAGCAAAATTATAAATACTAAATAAATTTAAAAAAAAAATAATAATAATAATAATAATTTTTGGTTTTTTAATTTGGGGGTAGGGGGAGGTTGTTGGGGTTAATGAGCACTATTAATACCTGAACTATCTGAGCTTCGCCACCCAAAATCTGAAAAGGTATCACAGCATCTTGTGGACTCTACAATACATTATCCATATGAGTTAACCCAGGATAGAAAAAATAAGCAAGGATTAATGTAGGCTGTATAGAACTTTTGAAATTTAAGATGGAAGAAAAAAGATGCTCCTTTTTTTTTTTTAAATCTACTGCAGCTTTCAATGAATGAGAAACCAAGGCAGATTTGGGCTTCATTTATTGTTTGTTGTTTAATTATTAACAAATAGAAAGAACAAAAAGAAAATCACCCAAAATGGGGTGGGGGGAATTGATGACTTTACTAGATTACTATGTATAGTACTCCAAATGCTTAAGTTTGTGAACGTACAACTCAGGCCAACAATGTAGACAAGGGCAATCACCAGAAACTCCCAACTTCAGAAACGTTAACATAGGTTTTTGATAAAAAAAAAATGTCCATGCCTCACTTCCAATTTGGCGTTGCTTATTTATTTATTTATTTTCCACACAAGTGTGAGACAAGAGTAACATTATTTTTAGATAATCAACCAGATAAAAATAATTTAAAAATTGTATAAGGTGCATCTGCTATCTCTACTCCATCAATATACATGAGTCATTGTTTGGTGCAACGAATAAAACCTCAAACTGCCACAGTGCCAAGTATGAGAAGCTGAGAACACCAATTCAAGTTAGGGCAACCACTTTGTGCAGACAAGACTAAATGTTACATCTGCATCAAGTTCATCCTACCCACCAAAATCGGGGAACCAAGACTGAGTACTCAACCTTTGAATTACGTATTGGTATGCACATTCTGAAACATGGTATCCTTTTGTTCCAAAATGGAAAATTTAGTGATCCAAAGCGATCCCAAAAGTTTTTTCTAATATATTTCTTTAAATGTTACCTTAGGAGAAAAAAAATCAAATATTATTAACTAAAATCTAAGGTGAGTTAGGTTTTGACGACACAAAATCATCAAAAAATGAGAAGAAAAAAAAAACATTTTATTGGATGCCTAATAAACCAAACCAAGCCTTAAGTCCCATTAAATAGGGTTGGTTACATGAATCATTCTTCTCCACGCAGCATTGGATGCCTAATAGTTAAAAGAAAATTACTTTAGAAGTACCTTAAATTCTTAAGTGTAATATAGACAAGTCTACCCTTATCGTACCACATTTTAGAGTACGTGGCGTACCACATTCCCATACCCGTTCCCGTTCGCGTTCCCATTCCACGTACCGCAAAGATCCACGCTCCAGGTAACATAGGGCAAGAGAATAAACTATTTTCCTCGTCTTACTAAAAAGGCTAATTTGCTTTTTGCTAACTCTGTTGCAGTTTCACATTCAATTTCCAATATAGGCACTCCTCCCCTCAATGTAATTATCAAATGAAATCTTATGCTAAATTTATTTGATATATATTGTGACCTTAAACGTCCCATATAATGAAATATGGTCATCAATTTTCATCCATTATGGATACTCTTAGTATTATAGAGTTCTAACATTTTTTCATTTATTGTTCAAATTTATTTTAACAAAAGAACTAATCTCAAGATGAAAAGTACATTGTTTTTAAAAATCTCATCATGAAATTGATCTTTATTTTTTCCATTTTACAATTTCTCTTATAGGTATTGGCCTAGTGGTCAAGGCCCGAGTTCTGGGGTGTGCTGTCTTCATAGTCTCAGGTTTGAAACCTCCTATGTGCAAATAATTTCTTTGAGCCAATCCATACAGGAACTTGCCCCGACTTTTATTTTCCCCCACTAGTGGATGGTGGGATTGGTCTCCCGAATTAGTTGGTCCATACGGCCATATACATTCCCTTATAGCCTTTTTCTACTTATGCTTCCCCAATACTCTCTCTCAGCTAGTGGACAGTGTGATTGGTTCCCAGATAAGTTGGTCCTTATGCCGGATACTGAGTTATGAAACAAAAAAACAAAAACAAAAAACCTTCACTTGTAGCCATTTTCTACTTATTCTTCCCCAATACTCTCTCTGTTTCCTGCTCCTCCATTTCTACTCTTTTCTTCATGCAATAGACGAAATACAACCAATTATACCCCATCAGTTTACCTTTCTGATCTTACTAAATTATAAATCAATTAAGTTCCTTGAAGAAGAACAAAAAAAGAGATAATTGCATTGTTTAAAGGTTACAAGTGCCAATTAAGTGTACTGTTGAAATGCAATTATCTTCCACAAAGCAAGTCTATCATCATCCATTCTACTCTTAATTAAACCGTCCTGATCCTCCCCACATTTTAACCTCCATCAAACATCCTCACCATCTCCATCGAACCAATTGAGTGGAGCTTTTGCTCTCTCCAGTCCCCGCCAAAAAAATAAACTCAAGCTCAAAATTTTCAATTTCCCTATGTTTCCAACCTTTTTTTTCTCAGAAGCCAAACATATACATACACATACATAGCAACTGGATCAGCTATAAAATTGTGAAAAACCCTAATTTTGGAGATAACTATATAGAGAGAAAGAGAAGAAAAAAAAAAAAGAGTACCTGATAAACGTAAGGTTGAAAAGGCGTTGAAAAGAAAGGAGCGGCCATGGCGGAGAGAGAGAGGTGTCGATCGGAGCAGAAATCGAAGAGCACTGAGATCAAGACACCATGACAGAGATCTGAGTGCTGGAGAGATTTTCAGATCGCGAAATCGCAAAACGCACCGAATTCAAGTGACAAAATCCACAATCCACAATCCACAATAAAATATATATATATATATATATTTGAACGATTCCTTTATTAGCACAGAGAGCAAGGGGTTTTGTGAATTGTTTTCATAAAAAAATTTGTGCTTTTATGGTTAGTTTATCATAAGGTCGACTACTTGTTAATACACGTCAGCAAAGTATTTGACGTGGAATATTGTTATTCGTTGTAATTCGTCGTTTTACGTGGTCCGAAAGCAAACCATGACGTGGAATATTGTTATTCGTTGTTTTGAAAAATCACGTAATCGTACTTTCCACTAATAACAATGATTGAGACTCAATTTTGGGAATTCTAGGGCCATTTTCAATGGTTTATCATATACATTATCAAATTAAAAAGGTACATATTTTTTTGTGTTTCAATGGTTTTATTAAAATAATATCAAATTAAAAATATCTCAAAATTTTTACCAAATTGAATATATCTTTTCAACAATTTATTATGTATGGTCATTGAGTGTGGACTCACTGAACAACCGGTCGGACATCCTTCCAAATGACCACCTAAAGTAAAATTTTATGAAAATTTTACACTGAGAGGTCGACCCTCTCTGTAACCAAAACAAGCATGTTCTCTAACTCTGATCTAAATATATTTGGATCAATTCTCTCTCTCTCTCTCTCTCAAACATTTAGATTCAATCACTTATTTCTGATTTGGGATTTGCTTAAATAGGTAATCTTGTTGGTTTTCATTCACCATTTCTCGTTTTTCTTTCCATGTATTTACAAGAAAATCATCAGTTTGGTCTTTTAGAATAAAATCATATGCGTATGCCCTCTTTCTGATCTGGGTTTTGTTGAAGAGATATGTTGCAAAAATGGGTGGTTGTATCAGTAAGAAAAATGTTTCGGAACCGAGTGTCAATGGGTATAGATCAGGAAGAGGTAATGGTAATGAACATCACCAAGGCTACCAATAAACCAATTGTTTCAGAACCAAGTTTTTTTTTTTTTTTGCATTGACTGGTCGACCAGTCAATCGACTGGTGATTTGATGAAAAGTCAAATTTCTCCGTTGGAGTAGGCGACATCATATAGAGGAATTCGTCTTTTTTTTCTCAAATTTGATGAAAATTCTGATGAACCATTAGAGATACCCTTATGATTCTCAAAATGATCTGGATTACTCATGTGAGTGAGATAGGGGGAAAAAAATAAAAAATAAAAATTTGAATGGTTCAGATTATTTTGGGATCATGAATATCTCCAAAATTGGGGGTTTTAATCATTTTTGTTTCACTAATCATAATTTATTATATTATATTTTCTTATATTTTTTAATCATTTTATATAAATTCGTAAACTTTATTATTTTCACCAATTATAACATCGTTGGGATACCATGTGACGATACCTTAAAACTAACCAATAAATTTTCCCTTCATAGTGTGTGCGCTGCCTGATCCCTCCTTCTTATTCAAAGTTTTTGTTTTTGAGAAATTATATAAAAACAATTTGGCGGTGCTCAGTATATCAATTGGTATATTTATATGTCATGATATTATTATTTTAAAATTATAATTTTACATATTATATAAATTACAAATATTTAGAATTTCTAAAATTATATCATATCATCCGTTAGTATACTAATTGATATACTAATTCGTGCATATAGTATTATTCAAAACTATTTGAGGGTTTTATCCAGTAATAAATTAAATCTTAATTTTTTAATTATTTTAATTTTAAAATAGTATTAATTCTCATCATTATAAGTTATAATTAACCAAACATGAATAATTTAGATAATTTAATTATTTTTTGTAGTTGGTGTTGAACAACAACGGTTGCTATGGAACAAAGAGAGAAGGAGAAGGTAGCAATGAGTTGGACAGTTTAGACAATTAACTTACTTTTTGTCATTGATGTTAAATGGCAACCGTGACTATGGAACGGTGAAAAGAAAAAGTAAGGAGTAGTAGTGAGTTAGGGAATGGCAGAAGTAACAATGTGCGAGAAAAGAGATGAATAAATGACAGCTAATTGGAGAAAATTAGGGGTAATGATAGACGAGAATAAAGATACAATTTCTATTGGTAGCTCGAAAACAGGATGATTCAAATGGCCTGAGTCTAAAATGACGTCATTTTAAAATTATTATTATTTTTTTTTCTTTTTTTCTCTTTGAAGATGAAGAACACAGAGAGAGAAGAGGAAGCTGGGAAACGCATCATCTTCATCAACACATCATCATCATCAGTAACAATATCTTCATCAACATCAATACATCATCATGATCAACAACATCTTCATCAACATCATCATCATCAACAACAACAACATCTTCATCAACATCATTGTATCAATCCGAAAATTTAAGTTGTCCCTTAAATTTTATACTAGTTTTATGATTGTATGTGATCATATATTATTAAATAAATAATAATAAATACATAATCCAATTTGGCATTAGATTTTCAAATATGGAATTAATTAGGGATTATTATATGGGGCTAAATTAATAGAAATATGAAATTATAATACTAGTTGAGCCAAATTAAAGTTAAATATAGTAAATAAATAAATACAAAAGTAAGAGTAAATAAATAAATAAATAAATAATAATAATAGTGGGTGTGACAATAAAATAAATAATTAATTTTCTGTGAGTATATGATAAAGTATAATTTAATTAGAAATTAATTTGTTTATATAGTTATATTAAGAAATTGGATTAAAATGTAATTATCTTAAATATTTAATTGGGGGATGCACCAATAAATCCCAAATTAATAACTTATGCACTGTTTAGTCCTAAAAATTTTCTTATAAACTGAAAGGTCCCATTACAATGTTAATAACATCAGATACAATGTTAATAACATCAGAGTCATGTTACAAACATTGGATTTCAAACATCTAATGTTCATCAAATTTCAATAATGTTTGAAAATATAGGATGAAAAACATCTAATATTCATTAGATTTCAATAAATTTTGAAATTATAGAATGAAACATCAGATCATTTACATCATTCACATCACGCTGATGTAAAAATGGGACTAAATGGAGTATAAGAAAACTTTTAAGACTAAATGGTTCAACGTTTCAAAAACTAAGACTTATGGGTAAATTTTCCTAATTATTAAGATAAGCTATAATCTATGGTTATAATGAATCAAATCTAGGTGGGTTATGAAGAAGGATTCGAGATCAGTAAGATCGGCCACGTGTCGGTCAGAGGACGCTTGTGCTTCCCTATAAATGGGGAAGAATGGATTAAAAGCCATGGAGTTGCTAAAGAAAATAAAAAGAAAAGAAAGAAAATAAAAAAGAGAGAGAGGCACGGAAATTACTGAAGTAGGTATTTATAATGGGAAGGTTGTGATAGTGAAAGAAAGGTTAAGAGTCAATTTTAAAGTGAGTTATATTACATATTGAGTTATTATAATATATTTTACGTATGTTTTGACTTACCATATTTATGTTATACAAGTTATGTTTTATAAATTATATTAATATTTCAATTACGTGAATTAATTTTCGAAATCTATTTGTTAAAATGAAACCCATGAATATGTTTGTTTGTATTTTAAAGAATATTTGACTATGATCTTATATACCACCACGAGAGTCCCACGTCTTGGGGGACTTAAATAACTATTGGCTTCTGTTTGGTCACTTTGTAACCCTCTATTGTCATGGATCTATTGAGCTCTGTTCTGTGCGAAGCAAAGTGCTGCGCGGAGATAAGTGCTACACTATTGTAGGAGTCACCTCTATAATCCGTATCAGTCACCTCTTGAATCCGTACCTCTATTCTGACTGTTACTCCTGTGACATCTGTTCTGTTCGATACTGTGGTTATGATTACTTATTTACATAATCTCAGTTTTACTACTTAAATGATTATTTGTTCAGACTAAGTTATTTTAAATATTTTAGTTACATAACTATACATTGTTCTTTTGTATCCCTTATACTCTTGGCATAATATTTCTCACTCTGCCATGTCCCTTACACTCTTGGCATAATATTCTCACTCTGCCATGTGCTTATAGTTGTTTACCAATTTTCAGAAAATAATGCAATTCAGAAATAGCTTTTGAAAAATCTTAGATGCGCGGCGCGGAATAGACACACACAACACTTTTATCATATTTTTATATGTAAATATCGGCCTTTTTGGTCAATAAATTTTATAATAAAAATAGAAGCTCCGATGATTATTTTGGTACCCTCACTTAAATATTATTTCCGCTAGCGTTTATTAATTTATTCAAGAATTGGCCGGAGGTAACTTCAGTTACTGGCCATCACGATGCTTAACCCTTGGGTACGGGGAGCGGGCACAAAAAAGATGCCTAGTCCAACAAAGAAATAGGAAACAGAAGCAACAAATATATATATATATATATATATATATATCAGAGCCTCTTGTTGCTGATAGATAGCTATTGAAAGTACAAGACCTTCATGTGAGTCCCACACTTGCAGTTCCTCAAATCTACGATCGATGATAGATCTACTCAGATTTGCGGCGATGAAGATGGTGTCGAACAAGAATCTAAGACTTTCCAATGACGGAATCGCCAGTGAGCACATCTTCTGGTCCGCGACAGAGCTTATGCTACAACGGAGGGCGACGGAGGAGAAATAGATGCATTAGTAAAATGATGAGGTACCGTGACGGAAATGAGAGATAGAGAGAAGAGAGAGAAAAAGTTATGGTAGAGGTGAGATATATACATATATATATAGAGAGAGAGTGAGTGAGAGAGAGAGAAAGAGAGAGAGAGAGAGAAATGGGTTTGAAGTCTAAAACAAATAAAGCGTGAGAAAGGTGTATAAATATATAGGGGTAATTTGGTCATTTTGTAAAAACATGTCTTTATAGACAGAGGAAATTCTACTTACACCACAAGTTTAACTCCTTACAACCTTAGAATCTAATTATTTTTAATTTTATTTTTATAATTTCTTTAATTCTTTTATTACCCTCATCCCTAACCTTCATCATTCTGTTTACACCCAAAACCTAAAAACGCTAACCCTAACACCCATTTCATCTCCTTTCTTCTCCTCACTTCCATTGTCGTCAATTGTTGCC